GGCGGCCTCCACGGCGCTCATGGTGGCTGCCCGAAGCCCGCCCTGCTCCAGGGCGTGGAGCCCGTAGATGGTGGTGCCACTCGGCGTGCACACGTCTGTCCGCAGCTGGGCTGGGTGCTGTCCCTTCTGCAGCAGCATCTTGGCCGTCCCCTGGGAAGGGGGCGTTGGGAGCCAGTGACTTGGGAGAGGCGGGGGGTCCCCTTCTCCAGCTCAGCCCCACTCTGTCCTGTCATCATGCGTCCCCTGATCTCGGCCTGGGCTTCTTGGGCCCACTGTCTCCCTTCCCACTGCTCCCAGGAGGCACGCAGGCCCATCCCCTTCCACATGCTCCCCTGCGGCCGCCATCACTCACCAGCAGGGTCTGAGCAGCAATGCGGTGGGCCAGGCCGCTGGGCATGCCCATCTTGATGGCACCCTCGGCCAGGGCCTCGGAGAAGGTGCACACCTGTGGGGGCAGTGGTGTCAGCGCCGGCACTCCCCTGCACACAGCACCCAGCCTTGAGAAGGCTCAGGACCTTCAGGAATAGGGCCCAGAGCACCAACCACCAGCGCAGCACCCAGGCTGAGGCCTGGGCCCAGGAAGGCAGAGCTCGCGGGCAGCTGGGCCTGAGGACAGGGCAGTCACAGGGACTCGGGAAAGCCCTGCTTTGCAGAGGGACAGCCCGTGGGGGCAGGGACTAGACAACACTTACGAAGGCCACACCGCTGCCGCTGAGGCCAGTGTGGATGTCCACTTGGGCCTCAGGCACCTCCTCACACTGCCCGCAGGCCTCCAGCAAAGTCTGCAGGAACTCAGCCTCGCTGCTCCCGGCATGGCGGCCCCGTGCCATCACCATGGCTCCCTCATGGACCACGCAGGGTAGGTTGGGTGAGACCCGCAGCACCCGTGCGGTAGGGGGCAGCAGCTGGCCAGAAGGAGGCTGGAGTCAAGGAACTTGTGGGTCAACCCTGCCAGGCAGGTGCGCACCCAAGTCAGGCCCCCTCCCCAGCTTCCCAGGTACGGGACCAAGAGGAAACCTAACCCTAGTCCCTTAGCCACCTGGCCATCTCTGCAGGCTGGCCGAGAGGCTGTCTGCCACCTGTCCCACCCATCCTGGGGCCAGTTTCGGATGGCGAGGGCTGGGAAGGTGAGTCTGGCCAGCAGAGCCCACTCTGGGGTCACAGCCTCATCCTCACAGGCCACTTACCTCCTCCAGGGTGCTCAGAGAGACCCCAGCAGCCACAGACACCAAGATGTGCTCAGAGGTGACCACAGGGGCCACCTCTGCCAAGACGGCTGGCAGGATGTGGGGCTTGGTGGCAAAGAAGACAAGTGAGCAGGTCTGCAGCACCTCCTGGTTGGAATGAGTGGTCTTGCAGCCCAGAGCCTGCACCAGGAACACCAGGGCCGGGACGGGGTAAGTGGGCGTCTTTCCAGACCGCAGCTCTTCCAGCTGGAGCCCACCTGCCTCCCCATGGGTCTCCGTGCATCTCTCCTGTGCCACCCCAACTCCTGACTCATGCAGCCCAGGACTCACCCAGACCACGCGCTCTTGCTCAGGACCAACCCTGAGCCCAACGGACCCCCTGACGTTAGCACCAACGTGGGCCCTCTGACCCCAGTAAGTACCCATGGCCATCCCTGCCCATCCCAACATACACATACATGCATGCACATGCATACACACACGTGCACACTCGTGCACACACCTTTACTCTGCCCTGGCCCTCCAGAACCTTGACTTTCCGTCTAGCCTTTGACCTCCCTTTCCCCAGCACAGTCTCAAAACTTTAGCTACATAAGCAGCACTTCTCTGGCCCCAAGAAGTATCTCAGAGAGACAGGAGCCAAGAGCCACCCTGGGCCCCTGGGGGGCAGCCTCAACTCAAAGGAGTTGGGCCCCGGCTCACCCGGAAATGGCAGAGGTTCCTGTCAGTTGGCGCACTGGCCAGCACATGCTGGGCTTCCACTTTTCCTGGAGAAAGGCAAGACCTGGGGTCAGTGAGGAGGGAGGAAGGAGAGGAGGAGCCGGCCTGGCCTGCCCTTTACTGAAAGCTCTCTCAGGATCGGCCTCACCTGGACCCTCTGGCCCTTGGCTGGCCTGAGGCTCTCCACAAACCCATGTGCTCGCAGGGGTGCCTGATGCAGCCCAGACCAGGCAATCAGATCCATTCAGTTCTAATCAGTAGTCACTGCCACTGCCTGCTGCCGCTGCTGCTGAATCCAGAGGCCCTGCTCAATGCAGGGGCCAGAAGCCTGCCTTGTCTTGTGGGGATGCAGATCCCAGGGCCCTCTGCCTCTGGGAACAGAAAGGCTGGGGGGAACAGGGGGATAGGGAGGCCCAAAGGGGGCCGAGCTTCCCTGGGAGGGGGTGCATCTATGCTGGGACATCAAAGCTGAGGATAAGTGCCCATTTGGTAGCAATCATCTGTTTGTGGAGCACGGGGCTGGGGAGGTCAGACTTCTGTAACGCCTAACGGGAAGGCAGAAGTACACCCCAAACCTGAACCCAGAACTGATTAACCGTGGCAGTGATGTATACCCACTGTGTATCACACAGACACGCACTGCACTCGACGCTGAAGCTGGACGGCGATAGTGCTGTGCGTTACAGGGTTTTAAGACACCTGAGACTTGCAGTCAACTTTTTGTGACTTTAACCCCTCTGGACTTCGATATCTGGCTGAAGGCAGAAAACCAGCCCGATACCTACACGTAAAGGTTTCTAAATTCCATGGAGTAGGATCAAGCCAGCGTTGTCATCCCCTGCTGGAAACCAATGGTTCTCAACTGGAGAAGATCCCCACGCCCCGCACGTGACTCAGGCAGTGTCTGGAGACTTTTTTTTGGCTGTCACAATTGGTAGGTGCTACTGACATCTAGTGGGGAGAGGCCAGGGAAGCCGCTAAAAACTCTTACGATGTAAAGGATGGAATATCCGGCCCCAAATGTCCTTAGTGCTGAGGTTTAGAAATCCTGTACCATGCCGCCAGGAGTGGAGTTGGCATACGAATAGAAAAAAGCCTCCGAAGGCAAGCAACCAGACAAAGGACAGAGAGTTGGCATGAGATCCCAGGCTCTAAGGGAGAGCTGTGCCAAGCACTGTGTGAACTACATTTCCTAGTAGTCACACGAAACAGGAAGAAACAGGTGAAGCTAAATGTATTACATTTTATTTAATCCAATATAGCCAAAATACTATCCGTTCAATGCATAATCAATATTAAAAACTACTAAAAGATGTTACTTTTCCTTTATAATTCTAAATCTTCCAAATCCGGTGTACATGTTATTCTATACACTCAAAGCACTTCTCAAATCGGACCAGCCACATCTCAAGAACTCTACGACCACTTGCGACTGCTGTGGGGCACCGGCTCTAAGTCTCCCCGCGCACGTCCCTTCCTGCCGTGCTCTCCGGGTGAAGTGAGTCCCGGGGCAGGGTCGGCCCTGGCCCACGCTCGCCCGGCCTCGCTCCACTCTGGGACCCCTGGGCGCACGCCCCAGGCTGCCCTGGCTCCTCCCTCCCCCCGGGACTGCGGGATTCCATCCTTGCGGG